AGGCACTATGGTAGAACTCTTTGTACAACAGTCTTACATGTTTTTTTGTTTCATGTGTTTATGGGAATATGTTTTGTTTTGCCTTGCTTTGTTTTGTTTCTCCCTCTAATAAAGAAAGGATAGAAATACATGTAAAGCTCATGCATGTGTAGAATCTATAAACAGTTTATGAGAATTATCTTATGACACATGATGAAATGAACAGATACTTTGAAGAAAAAGAGACACTAAAGTATCTAGTGCTGATCTTGGAGTGTCATACCCAGCAATAGTATTATTCTTTTTCAGAGTGATATTAGCTTGTTGGGGTTTGTTCAATCTCAACATAATTGAAGATATGGATAACTTCATGTATGCTTAAGTGTATAGGATTGATAACCATATTTCTGAGTTTTTGTTGGATAGTTGAACAGAACTGGTTGCAATCTCACTGTTTGAATCCCCACTTTATATGCTTCACTTTAGTATCTTGAATAACTATTTGTAAGAGGACAATCTGTAATCATCAACTAGTGATTTCTTACTGTTTATTTTTTTCTTTGAAAGTATGTATTATTTCTACTCATTTTCTGTTTTGTTTAGTCTTTATTTAAATTAAATTTAAAAAACACTACAGTACCCAGTGCTGATCCCAGAGTGTCATGATGTGAAATCCAGCAATACTATTATTCTTTGTTCAGAATGCCTTTAGCCTGCTTTAGTTTGTTTAATCTCAACATAAATGAATATATGGATAACTGCATGTATGTTTAAGTGTATAGTATTTACAACCATACTGCTAAATTTTTGTTGGATAGTTGAACAGAACTGTTTGCAGTCTCGCTGTTTGAATTCTCACTTTATATGTTCCACTTTTGTATCTTGAACAACTATTTGTAAAAGGACAGTATGTAAACATTAACTAGTGATTTCTTACTGTTTATTTTTTCTCTGAACGTATGTATTATTTCTACCCATTTTCTCTGTCTAATCTTTCTTTAAACAAATTTTTTTAAAAAGACCCAGCAACAGTAAAGTAAGGCAATGAGTGGAATAAGTCAATATCTTTCAGTAATAATACTCAATGTGAATGGTTTCAACCTCTCAGTCAAAAGACACAATTGATAATGGATCAAAAACCAAAACCATCAGTATGCTGCATGCAAGAAAAAAATTTTGGACCCAATCCAGTCCAAATTCAAATTTAAGACTAAAACTCAAAGGACAGAAGACAATATCCTGAGAGATAAAAAATAATCGAGTAGAGACTGAGAGCAAAATGCAGCCTCTGTGGGATTGGCAAAGGGATAACCCTAAAATACCTGATGAAGAGAAAAGGCACAAAGAAGCTGATCTCCAAGAACTACAAGGAGCTGACAGGAAAACTACAGAGAAGCTGGAGCAACACAGTAAAAACAGAGACAAGAAGTACGCAGTCTTGGAAGTTAAGCCCAGCTCCTGGGGAGGGAGACCTGTGTTCATTCACCCAGGGAAGTCAGGAGAGAGCCAGCACATCCCAGGAGAAACCAAGTACTAGGCCACCTGAATTAGCTCCACACAGAGCACACTGCAAAAACAGCACAGGTGATTATTCTGAAATTGCTGCCTCCTGCAAGGCAGGCTACAGTTGGAGAAGAAATCCAGTGTAGCACCCATGATAACTGGGAGGGTTTACTCAGAAGCCATTTTAGGAAAGAATTAATTATTGAAGACAGCTTTAGAAAAACTATCTTCAAAGTTTCTGGTACTGTCCTATCACAATGAATTGGGAGGAGACTGTCACAGACATAGTCACAGAGTGGGCACAGGCCATAGGCATGTCTCCCTGAGAAGCCAAAGGTAAGGCTGGGAAAGACACGGTAGCTCTGATCTCCATGTTGAGAGTCATGTATGGCTTTCAGAGAGAGCTGAATCTGAAAGTACTGATTTTGATTCCAGCTGTCTGCTTGAATCCGCTGACTACATCCCGCACAGAACTGAATGGTTCTTTTCCATCTGCCAATGTGATCTACAATAGTCCACGCAATCCCTATCAATGGTGTTCTTTACAGAACTAAAACATTCTAAAATTTATATGGAAGAACAAAAGACTCTGAATAGCCAAAGCATATGCTGAGGGAAAAAAAGCAAACGTATAGACATCTCATTATCTGATTCCAAGATACAGTAAAGAGCCCCAGTAATAAAAACAGCAGGGATTTAACAGAAACACTAAAAAAGGACATTTGAATCAATTAAACAGAACAGAGGACACAAACATAAATCTTCCTATCTTCAGTCAACTGATACTCAATAAAGGAAATACTCAACAAATGGTGCCAGAAAAGTGAAGATTCACATGGAAAAGGTTGAAACTAGACCACATCTTTCAACTTGTACAAGTATCACCTCAAATTGATTAAAGACCTTAATACAAGTCTCTAAAACTATTAGAGGAAAACAGAAAAGAAATACTTCAAAATATTGGCATAGCACCAATTTCCTGGATAGGACACTTAAAAGCACAGGAAGTAAGAACAAGACTTGACAAATGGAACTGCATCAAATTAAAAAGTTCTACACAGCAAAGGAAACAATCAGTGAAGCAAAGACACAATATATAAAATAAGTAAAATTCTTTGCCAATTAGTTGTCTTAGGTTAATATCCAGAATATATGAAAAACTCAAAGGATTTGACAAAAGCAAGTAATCTTAAAATGGGCAAATGATTAAATAGACTCTTCACAAAACAAAAAATATAAGCAGCCAACAAATATATGAAAAATGTCCAATATCATTGGCCCTCAAGGAAATAAAAGTCAAAAGTAGAAAGAGATACTATCTCATCCCAGGTATCACTGTTACTATCAAAAAACAAAAAGATAAATACTGGTGAAGTTGTGAGGAAAAAAGAACTCTTATACATTGTTGTTGAGATTGTAAATGGTGTAACCATTATGGAAAACAATATGGAGGCCCCTCAAAAATATTAAAACTAGAATTATCATGTGATCTAGTTATCCCTCTACTAGGTATATACCCAAAGGAAATGGAATCATCATAATAAAGGGTTACCTGCATTCCCATGCTGATTACATCACTACTCACAATAAGCTAAAGTATGGAGTCAGTCTATATGTCCGTTAACTGACGAATCTATAAAAAAAAATACATAAGGATACACAGAATACAATACAATGAAGTATCATTCATTACAAATACAACGAAGTATTATTCAGCCATAAAGATAAATGAAATTTTTCCATGAGTAGCAAAATGAATGAAGCTGGAGCTTATTATCCAAAGTGAAGGGAAACACAGAAAGACAAATAACATATGATTTTTCTCCAAAAAAAAGTTGACTTAAAATAATGATTTCTAGAGAGTGGAAGACTGTCAGGGATGGAGCATGAAGCTAAAAAAAATAATGGGCAGGTAAAATCAGTGTACACTGCTTGTATGGATGAAAATATCACATTGAGGATCTTTATCATTCACAAGTTATAGGTGTCAATAAAAAATAAACATAAAATTGCAAAAGGGAAAGAAGACGTGAATATGGAACTTGAGATTCAAAACCACATATCCACAAGCACTCAAGCTACATGAAAAGCATATGAAGAAATTAGTATGCAAGATTACATTTCCTTTGTCTTTGTTTCTTTTCAAGTTAGTTTTGTTGGTTGGATTGTCATAGATGACCTTTATCATATTGAGGTAAAGACCATCTATTTCAATTTTCTGTAAGGTTCAGCATCATACAAAATGGCCAAAAAATTGAAGGCCTTTACCTTAAAATCAGGCACAAGACAAGGATGTCCCTTATCACCACTCCTATTCAATATAGTACTGGAAATACTAGCCAGAGCAACTAGAAAATAGAGAGAAATAAAAGGGGTAAAAGATAGGAAAAGAGGAAGTTAAATTATCATTATTCGCAGATGACATGATACTCTACATAGAAGACCCCCAAAATTCCGCTGAAAGATTCCTAGATTTAATAAGTAAATTCAGCAATGTAGCTGGATTCAAAATCAGTGCTCAAATATCAATAGCATTTCTATACACTAACAACAAATTACGGAGAGGGAAATAAGAGAAGCCACAACATTCACACTAGTATCCAAAAACATGAAATACTTAGGAATTAATCTCACAAAAGAAGTAAAAGATCTATACAGGGAAAAGTATAATATCCTGAAAAGAGAAATCGAAGATAATCTTAGAAAATGGAAAGACATCCCTTGCTCATGGATAGGAAGAATAAATATTGCCAAAATGGCCATTCTCCCAAAATTGTTATACAGATTCAATGCAATCCCAATGAAAATACCATCAACATACCTCCTAGACCTAGAGAAATAACTCTTAAAATTCATCTGGAACCAGAAGATACCTAGAATAGCAAAGGCAATTCTAAGTAGCAAAGGCAAGGCAGTAGGCATCACAATCCCTGACTTGAAGTTAATCTACAAAGCTACTGTAATAAAATCAACATGGTACTGGAATAAAAACAGACCTGAAGATCAATGCAATAGATTAGAAGATATAGCCATAACTACCAACACACTCAACCAACTTATCTTTGATAAAGGGGCCAAACTTGTTCACTGTAAGAACGACAGTCTCTTTAATAAATGGTGTTGAAAAATGTTTCTATATGCCGAAAACTAAAATTAGACCCATGCCTATCACCATATACTAAACTAAAATCTACATGGATCAAAGATCTGCATATTAAAACAGAAACACTTGGGCTGGGGTTTAGCTCAGCGGCATAAGCACCTGCCTTGCAAGCAGGCGGTCATGAGTTCAATCCCCGGTACTGATAAAAATGAAAAAAAAAAAAAAAAAAAAAAAAAAAAAACAGAAACACTAAATCTGTTGGAAGACAAAGTAGGTAAACATCTTGAAGACACAGGGGTAGGTAGAGAATTCATGAACAAGAATCAAACCACACGGGAAATACTTTCCAGAACCAATAACTGGGATCACCTCTTATTAAAAAGTTTCTGCAAGTCAAAAGAAATCTCCAGTATCCAGCCTTTGTGTTGCTCATTCACTTTTGAAAGCTAGTGAATGTGGTGTCCAAAAAAAGCATTGATAAAAGCTTTGCAGCTTTTCCCTGCCCATGTATTTGGTATAGTTGGTGTAGGAGCTGCACAAGCAACAGTTTATACATTTACGTTGCGTGTACAGGTAAATAAATCGGCCAGCGTGAGGTTTTTTCTTAACCAGTTTTAACTAATTTTAAAAATAAAGAAAAGAAATCTACAGTAGAGTGAAAAGAAAACCCACAAACTGGGAAAAACAATCTTAGTGAACTGTCCCTCAGACAAAGGACTTCTGTCTAAAACATATAAAGAATTAAAGCTTTTTTTGTCACCTGGGGACCAGCACATGATTTCCTGCCAGGACCAGTGAGTGGGGCCTAGGCAAGGAATCCTGCTCCAGGAATCCTGCCCCAGTCTGGGGGAACTCTCTTTGTCACCTGGGGACCAGCACATGGTTTCCTGCTGGGCCCAGCCAGTCAGGCCTAGACATTGTCTGGGGGAACTCCCTCCCTCACTTGGAAAAACACTTGAAGCTCAAAAATACAGGAAAATGGCAAAACAAAAGACCAAAATGTAACATCAAACATCCAGCCCATCCCAAGAAAGCCTAGGAAACACATGCATAGAAGAAAATACATTCCTGAAATACCTGAAATAATAGTAACTGAAATAAAGACTCAACTCTGGGAAACCTTAAAAGAATTCAAACTAGAAATAATCTCTCAGGTAAAAGAAGAAATGATAAAAGAAATGAAGGAGATGCTGAACATATCTAAAGAAGACACGGTTAAAAAATTGGAGCATCTAAACAAAAAGATAGAATCCCTGGATGAACAATATAAGAAACAAACAGAATACATAAAGCAGATGCAAAGAGATATAGAGGAAATCAAAAACTCCATTGAAAGTTGTAAACACCACCTCAATGAATGTGAAGATAGAATCTCAGACCTCGAAGACAAGATTGCAGCTAGCGAATAGGAAAAGAAAGATCTTTTAAAAATAACAAGAAATCAGAAAATAACAATTCAACACCTGCAAGACGATGCAAAGCGGAACATCATAAGGTTGACAGGGATAAATGAAAAAGAAGGGGACAACATAAGGGATGTCAAGAAGCTATTTAGAGAAGTAATAGCTGAAGATTTCCCAAACACGAGATTAGAAACTGCTATCAAGATCAATGAAGCATACAGAACTGCAAATAGCCATAACCAAAATAAATCTACACCAAGACATATAATAATGAGCATCCCAGAAATCAAACAAAAGAATAGAATACTAAAAGCTGTCAGAGAGAAAAGACAGATCACCTATAAAGGAAAACCTATCAGAATCACAGCAGACTTCTCAGCACAAACAATAAAGTCAAGAAGAGCATGGAGTGAAGTATTTCAGATCCTAAAGGAAAATGATTTCCAACCTAGGCTTAGAACCCTGCAAAATTGTCCTTCAAAATCTATGGAGAAATAGCATACTTCCATGACAAAGAACAGCTGAAAAACTTCATGATCACCAAGCCAACGCTGCAAAGAATGCTGAAAGACAGCCTAGATACATTTAGGGAAAAAACCACTAAACAAAGCAGACAATTAAACAGAGCAGAAAGATAAAGATGCAACAGCAAAAAGATAACATGTCAACAACAAACCAATATATAACAGTTCTAACCATTAATGTAAATGGTCTCAATGCACCAATTAAAAGAAACAGACTAGCAGAATGGATCAAGAAACAGAATCCAACCATATGCTGTCTACAAGAAACCCATCTAACCCAAAAGGATACTCAGAGACTAAAAGTCAAAGGATGGAAAACAAAACTTCTTGCAACAGGAACCCAAAAAAAGGGGGGAGCTATTCTGTTTGCATATAACCTGAATTTAAAACCAAAAATGATCAGAAGGGATAAAGAAGGACACTACATACTGGTTAGGGGAAAACTTCAAGAGGAAGAGATAACTATCTTAAATATATATGCACCAAACTCCAGAGCACCCTGTTAGATAAAACAAGTACTAACAGAAATGAAAAACCAAATTATCAGTAACATAATTCTAACAGGAGATCTTAACACACCATTGACACCAAAGGACAGATCAACCAGACAGAAAATCAACAAAAAAATAAAATAACTGAATTGCACCTATTAACAAATGGACTTAATAGACATATACAGAGTATATCACCCAACAACAACAGAATACACATTCTTCTCAGCAGTACATGGGTCATTTCCTAAAATAGACCATATATTAGCTCACAGAACATATTTAAATAAATGTAAAAGGGTCGAAATTATCCCTTGCATGCTATTGGACCATAGCACTATGAAATTAGAAATTAATGATAAAAGATACTGCAAAAATCCCACAAACACATGAAAACTGAATAACACACTCTTGAATAATCAGTGGGTCACAGTGGAAATCAAAGAAGAAATTAAACAATACCTACAAACAAATGAAAATACAAATACAACTTACCGGAATCTGTGGGATGCAATGAAAGCTGTCTTCAGAGGAAAATTTATTGCACTGAGTTCCCACATTAGGAAAACAGAACAAATACAAATAAATAACCTGATGTTACACCTCAAACATCTAGAAAAAGAAGAGCAAGTCAAACCCAAAGCCAAAAGAAGAGAAGAAAGTATAAAAATCAGAGAAGAAATCAATGCAATAGAAACCAAAAAAAATCCAAAAAATCAATGAATCAAAGAGCTGGTTCCTTGAAAGAATAAATAAAATCGACAGGCCCCTAGCCAACCTTATTAAAAAAGGGAAGAAAAAGCTCAAATTCATGCAATAAGGAGTGAAAGAGGCGAAATTACTACAGACCCTATAGAAATACAGAAGATCATCAACACCTATTTCGAAAACTTCTACTCTCAAAGGTTTGATAACACAGAAGAAATAGACAGATTCCTAGAAGCACACGAAGTATCAAAGCTAGGTCATGAAGATGTAAAACTGCTGAATAACCCAATTTCTATTAATGAAGTTGAAAACATAATTAAATGTTTACCTACAAAGAAGAGCCCAGGCCCAGATGGATTCACTGCAGAATTCTACGAGAAATACAAAGAAGACCTAACTCCAGCACTCCTCAAACTCTTCAATGAAATTGAAAGGGAAGCAATCCTTCCTAAATCATTCCTAGAAGCAAATATTATTCTAGTACCAAAACCAGAGAAGGACCCAACTGAAAAAGAGAACTACAGACCAATCTCCCTAATGAACACAGATGCAAAAATCCTCAATAAAATATTGGCAAATAGGATGCAGCAAATCATCAAGAAGATCATACACCCCGACCAAGTAGGATTCATCCCAGGCATGCAAGGAGGGTTCAACATACATAAATAAATAAATGTAATCCACCATATCAATAACGCCAAAAGTAAGAATCACATGATCATTTCTATAGATGGAGAAAAAGCCTTCGATAAGGTCCAACATTCATTCAGATTGGAATAGATGGCCTTTACCTCAGTATAATTAAGGCCATCTATAACAAACCAACAGCCAGTATCATACTAAATGGCCAAAAATTGAAGGCCTTTACTTTAAAATCAGGCACAAGACAAGAATGTCCCTTATCACCACTCCTATTTAATATAGTACTGGAAATACTGGCCAGAGCAATTAGACAAGGGAGAGAAATAAAAGGCATAAAGATATGAAAAGAAGAAGTTAAATTATCATTATTTTCAGATGACATGATACTCTATATAGAAGATCCCCAAAACTCCATTGAAAGATTCCTAGATATAATAAATAAATTCAGTAATGTGGCTGGGTACAGAATCAATACTCAAAAATCAATAGCATTTCTATACACTAACAACAAAGTTACAGAGAGAAATAAAAGAGGCAACACCCTTCACACTACCAGCCAAAAAAATGAAATATTTAGGAATTACTCTCACAAAAGAAGTGAAAGAACTATACAGGGAAAATTATAATACACTGAAAAATGAAATTGAAGATGATCTCAGAAAATGGAAAGACATCTCTTGCTCATGGATAGGAAGAATAAATATTGTAAAAATGGCCATTCTCCCAAAACTTTATACAGATTCAATGCAATCCCAATAAAAATACCATCAACATACCTCATAGAAATTGAGAGATCACTCCTAAAATTCATCTAGAGCGAGAAAAGACCTAGAATAGCAAGGACAATTCTAAGCAGCAAAAGCAAGGCAGGAGGCATCACAATCCCTGACTTGAAGTTATACTACAAAGCAACTGTAGTAAAATCCACATGGTACTGGAACCAAAACAGAGCCGAAGATCAGTGGAATAGATTAGAAGATACAACCACAACTACAAACACACTCAACCACCTTATCTTTGATAAAGGGGCCAAACTGGAAGAACGACAGTCTCTTTAATAAATGGTGTTGGAAAAACTGGCTCTCCATATGCCGAAAACTAAAACTAGACCCATGCCTATCACTAAAATACTATCTGTACTAAAATAAAATCTAAATGGATCAAAGATCTTAATATTAAAACAGAAACACTAAACCTATTGGAAGACAAATTGGGTAAAAACCTTGAAGACATAAGGGTAGGTAGAGAATTCATGAACAGGACTCAAACCACACAAGAAATACTTCCCAGAGTCAATAACTTAGATCGCCTCTTATTAAAAAGTTTCTGCACGTCAAAAGAAATCTTCAGCATAGTGAAAAGAAAACCCACAAACTGAGAAAAAATCTTAGTGAACTGCCCCTCAGATAAAGGACTTCTGTCTAAAACATATAAAGAATTTTAAAAAATCAGACCCCCAAAATTCAAAGACCCAATCCAAAAATGGGCATCTGAGATGAATAAACAATTTTCAGATGAAGAAATACAAATGACAAATAAATACATGAAAAAATGTTCATCATCACTGGTTATTAGAGAAATGCAAATTAAAACCACACTGAGATTTCATCTCACTCCTGAAAGAATGGCCAAGATCAACAAATGCTGGAGAGGCTGTGGGGAAAAAGGAACTCTCCTACACTGTTGGTAGGAGTATAGACTAGTACAACCATTGTGGAGGTCGGTCTGGAGATTTCTCAAAAAGCTGGGACTAGAAGCCCCATTTGACCCAGCTATTCCAC